AAGGGGACATGGCTTCCGGCAGATAAGGTAAAGGAGAATCCAAAGGGATTCTACAAGTACATGAAGAGCAAAAGATTATCTCGGAAGTGAATAGGGCCTCTTCAAGATCAACAAGGTCATAAGAGATCCTAAATGAATATTTCTCATTAGTAATTACCATCAAGAAAGATACAGATGACTGGGAACTTGGGGAAATAAATAGTGATGTCTCAAAGAATGTCCACATTACAGAAGAGGAGGTGATATAAGTCTTAAAATGCAATAAAGTAGATAAATCCCCAGGACCTGATGAAGTGTATCCCAGGACTTTGTAGGATGCTAGGGAGGAAAATATGATGATCATGGACAGCCAGAGGCGAAGTGCCTGAAGATTAGAGGGTGCCTAATGTTGTGTGGTTATTTAAGAAAGGCTGCATGGAAAATGCCTGAGAACTACAGACCAGTGAACCTAACATCTGTGGTGGGTAAGTTGTTGAAGGGGATTCTGAGAGACAGGATTTAAGGGATTTGGAGAGGCAAGGATTCATTTAGAATGGTCATTATGGCTTTATGCATGGGAAATCATGTCTTACTAATTTGATTGAGTTTTTTGAAGGGGTGACCTAGACTGTAATGAGGGCAGTGCAGTAGATGTTGTCTACATGGACTTTGACAAGGTACCGCATGGTAGTTAAAAACAGAAAGAACTGTGGATGCTGTAAATCAGAAACAAAAACAGAAGTTACTGGAAAAGCTCAGTAGGTCTGGCAGCATCTGTGTCGAGAAATCAGAGTTAATGTTTCGGGTCCGTGACCCTTCCTCAGAACTGATGGTAGCTAGGAAAATGTCAATTTATATGCAGAAAATAAGGTGAGCCGGGGGTAAGGAGTAAACAATAAATGGAGATAAAACCCAATAAGAGAGAAAAACAGTTGGACAGAAAAGCAGTGGATGACTTTCTGTCTCAGAGGGTGAATAGCTGTTAATGGAGACTGTTAGACTGGAGACTGGGTAACAATAGGTAGTGTGTCATGGCAGGCTCTGTGATAACAAGGCCAAGTGTGTGGGGTAGGGGGCTAGGACATGGGAGAGTTCAGACCCTAAAATTATTGACCTCGATATTGAGTCCCCAAGCAGAAAATGAGGCGTTGTGTTTCCAGCTTTTGCTGAGCTTTGCTGGAACATGCAGCAAGCCCGAGACACGGATGTTGGCCAGGGAACAGGGTGATGTGTTCAAGTGGCAGGCAACTGGAAGCTCAGCATCTTTTTTTCCAGGCAGAACGTAGATGTTTTGCAAAGCGGTCACCCAGTCTCCACTTCATTTCCCCAATGTAGAGGAGACCACATTATGAGCGGTGAATGCAGTAGACTAGATTGTTTGAAGTGCGTGTAAAGTGCTGCTTCACCTCAAAGGTATGTTTGGGCCCTTGGATATTGAGGAGGGAGGAGGTAAATGGGCAGGTGTTGCACCTTTGGCGGTTGTAGGGCAAGGTGTCGTGGGTCTCTGGCAGGGTGTTGGGAGTGAAGGAAGAGTGGACCAGGGTATCCCAGAGGGAATGGTCCCTGCGGAAGGTGGACAAAGGAGGGGAAGGAAATATGTCGTGGTGGTATCTTGCTGGAGGTAGCGGAGATGGTTTCTGATGATCTTCTGGATGTGGATGCTGGTGGGATGGTCGGTAAGGATAAGGGGAATTTAAGGTGAGAGGGGAGAGATGCAAAAAAATCCAGAGGGGCAGTTTTTTGACCAGCATGGTGAGAGCCTGGAACAGGCTGCCATAGGTAGTGAATACAATTTTGTCATTTAAAAAACATATTTAGACAGGTATATGGATGGGATAGTTATGGAAGGATGTGGACCAAATGCAGATGGGACTAGTTTAAATTGTGAAAACTGGGTGGCATGGGAAAGTTGGGCTGGAGAGCTTGTTTCCATGCTGTCGACCTCTATGACTATGACTATGACTATGACTGTGACTAAGAACAGTACAGCACAGGAACAGGCCTTTTGGCCCATCATGTCTGTGCAGATCAGGATGTCATTCTAAACTAATTCCATCTGCCTGCACATTAACTGTATCCCTCCATTATCTGCCTGTACATGTGTTTAGATAAATGCCTCTTGAGTGGTATTACCATCCTCTGTTTTTAAAAAAAAAACTTGCCTTTTTTTTGCAGACCTCCTTTAAACTTGCCCCTCTCACCTTAAAGCTGTGCCACCTCGGATTTGACATTTCCATCCTGGGATAAAGGCTCCGACTATCCACCCTGTCCATGCCTCTTAGAATTTTATGTACACCTATCAGGTTGCCCCTCAGCCTCCAATGCTCTAGCGAAAACTTTTCCACCTATTTTTGTGTTATCTGTAAATTAGGCTGGAGTGCATTCACTTCTTTCAAGTCCTTAATATATATTGTAAAAGATTGTTGTCCCAGCACTGGTGCCCATGGAACCCCACTGGTAACAGAGGACCAACCTGAAAAAGAACCCCTTGTCCCCACCCACTTTGTTGCCAATTCTCTATTCATCTATGGTAGTCAGTTTAGTTTCTTTACTGAAGCAACTGAATTGATGAATTTTCCATGTTGGCAGTATTTAAAACTAACATCAGAGGGCAGTTGATCTTTGAGATAAAGAACCACTGCCAGGTGTGTCACACAGCCTTGGGTTGTGGGGGAGGCATGGGAACCAAAGCAATCGTGAGAAAAGTCTGAGGCTTGTCCAGTAGATAACAGGAGCAAATCAAATCGTTAAGGCAGATGAGCTTGGCAGAGAATAAGGTAAGACTGATAAATTAAACTGCATTTACTTCAATCAAGAGGCCTGACAGGTAATGCAGATGAATTCAATAAATCTTTAATAAGGAGATTAGAGTTTTAGTTAGTAGCATTATATGCCAAAGGTTTACATTTGTTCACATATAGCTATAATCTAATTACTTGTAATAAATAATAATCCTTATTCAGTACTGAAGCTGGTCCATGCCTTCTATCAACTTTTGTATGAAAGTTGGGTAAATTAGGGCACTTGATGTTTGGTTTTTACTGAAACTTTAACATTGGTTATGATACCCAAACTAAAGGGCTCAATTTATGGCACACTACCCCAGTGGATCCTAATAATGCACAGTACTTGTACATCAGCCATGCCCTTTAACTCTAGGTGTATGTTCCTTTTTTGCTCTCGAATCAGTTCCATCCCTCCTGTTACTACCGTTGTTTATTTATAGGCCTATAGAAGACTTTTTCAATAATTTTTCATGTTAGCCGTCTATCTTTGATATCTTTTTTAATATTTATGGAACTCAAAATATAGTTGTCCTCCCCATTGCCTGCAAATCTTTGACTTCACCTATCCTTTTGGATGATGCTGGAAGCATGGAATGCACTATCTGGGAGGATAGTTGAGTAGTATCACAACTTTTATAAAGTACTTGGATGAGCACTTGAATGTCAAGGCTGTGGGTCTAGTGCTGGAAAGTGGGACTAGTATAGATTTCATGCATTTGGACAATCCAGACTGGATGGGCTGAAGGGACTCTTCTGTACTTAATGACTCTATTATCCTGGCTTGGTCTGTTTTCAATCCACTGACTTTGACCTGCTCAAATTAAGTATGTTTACTCTAGATTTCTCCCTGTATTTTTAACACATCACCCAAATCTTACAAAACAACACTCACTGTTTCCTAAATACTTCCTACTGACCTCATTGCCCAGAACCAGATCCAATAATTCCTTGTTAGTGTAGAAATGTGCTGATTATGAAAATTCCCCTGCACACACTTTTTAGAAACTTACCCCACTCCGCCTTTATATTATTATTGCTGTCTACGTTTTGATAGTTGAAGTGCTCCATTATCACTAAACATTTTGCACGCTATGATTTCTGTGCAAATTTGCTCCATTATTATTTTCCTCCACACTAAGTGGTGGCCTATAGAATACACCAGCGATGTGAAAGCACCCCTATTGTTTCAGAGCAATAACCTTGTAAATTCTAAAAATTATGTGAAGGTTTGAAAATCGGATCCTGATCTGAAAATTGGTTTGTTGGAAAGAAAGCACCAATTGAGTTTGATTAAGTAAACTGTGGGTTTTTAATACTAACATGCATGTATAATTTAGCAAATAGCTATTAGATGGCTACGTTATGAAGGAAATATTGTCTCACACAATCACATCCATCCTGAACTGGAACAAATTGTTTTAAGTTTTTTAGGGCTCACAGTGGCTCCGTGGTTAGCACTGCTGCCTTGCAGCACCAGGGACCTGGGTTCGATTTCACCCTTGGACGACTGTTCATGTGAAGTTTGCACATCTCCACGTGTCTGCGTGTGTTACCTCCCACAGTCCAGAGATGTGCAAGTTGGGTAAATTGGCCTTAGTGTCCAGGGGTGTAAGTTAGGTGGATTAGCCATGGGAAATGCAGGGTTAGAGTAAGGGGATGGGTCTGGGTGGGATGCTTTTCAGTGGTCAGTGTGGACTTGTTGAACCGAATGGCCTGTTTCTGCATAGTAGGGATTCTGTGATTCTATGAAATGGAAATAATAGTTTGAATATGTTTTTTGACCCTTTGACATAACTTGAGACGAAAGGATAACTTCCAAATGTGTTTGTTTTTATACAGTAAAACCCTTAATTGGCCAAGATATTCAGTGGAACACAAACCTATAATCTCGAGTCAAAAGTGAAAGTGCCAAACCAGGATTTATAATGTTATGAGCGTGATCAGAGTATCGATGGTCAATTAAAATTTCCTTAATGTTTAAGATAAAGATTTGAAGGATATTTATTGTTATAAGTGCAACTTGAGTGTATGAAGAGAAGACTTTTGTTTGATTTGGTATTATGAATCTTTATGAAATATGCCTAAGAATTGGGGTTCCATTATTGACTCGTCAGTGGCATGTGCAAGTTCTGAGCAGCTGCCTGACTGCTGACAAGTGACTAAGTGGAATGATTTAGTCTCTTCTGTGTGAAATGTTTACTGTAATGGTTACTTTTTTTTTGTCTGACTTACTAGGATGTGTTGGTGGTGAACTGCCCAACTGAATGGATAGCTGCAAATCATGTTCTGGCAACATGTAGAACTTCATTGAAAAAACAAGGAGTTATTGGCTTAAATATGGCACCATGTATGAGGACCTTTCTTGAAAGGCTGCCAGTGATGTTGCAAGAGCAATATGCATATGAAAAGGTAGTTAAAAATAATAATATTGAAACTAGAATGAAGTTATTGTTTTTATGTGCCAAAACCTGTCAATGAAGTTATAATGCAATAAAATTCCTGGTATCCGGCATGCACGCAGAACGGGAGGTGCCAGTTGCATGAGTCTGTTGGCTGCGTTCAGGTTCAATCATAAATACCGTCAACAAGGTTTGATCAAAAGGAGAGAGATGACCAAATGATCAGTTTTCAGAGTGAGAAAACCTACTCCCGTTGATTGGTTGCATGAGAATTCTGGATAACAAGATAACTCTGGATAACAAGATAACTAGGTAACTAATAGTGGGGACTTATTAATTTGAAAGTCTTTGCTATGCCAGTTAATGTCATCTTTTCCCTTTCAGCCTCACGTGTTATGTGGAGACCAACTAGTTCACAGTCCTTACATGCAGTGTCTGGCCTCCTTGGCTGTGGGACTTCAACTAGATCGTCTCCTGTGTAATCCATCTGTGCCTCCTCATCATACTAGTTGCCCCCCTGACCCTGTGAACTGGAACTCCTCGGAGTGGTCCTGGTTAGAATGTTTCTCTACCACTATTAAGGCTGCAGAAGCATTAGCGAAAGGGGGGCCATTCCCTGAATGCTTCACTGTTCCAGATCTAGAGCCTGTACCAGAAGAAGAACTATATCATGTGATGGTAAGTTAGCTTGCGTTTTGGGGATCTGAGGTGGGGAAGGAGGGGGAACGAATTAACCAGATGTTTAAAACAATTTTACAAGTAAGTTAGGATTGTGTTCAGTGCATTGCCACCTTCTTGCACTACTGAAAACATTACGCTGTTGGTACATGAATAATAAGCGTCTGCTTGCCATTCTGAGGCAGAGCAGGCCATTTTAAAACATGTCAGCAGGTGTCACACATAACAGAGCCCCAATGAAATATCAGAAACTGATTTTGTGAAAAATGTTAGCAACATTAAAATTCGATGATGAAGTGACCTCATTCTGCAAAAGTAGTCTCTTCAAATTCACATACCAAGTGCCGATAGGAAGGTAGTACTAGGATTTTGACTCAGTGACAATGAAGGAACAGTGATATATTTCTAAGTCAGGATGCTGAACGGCTTGGAGAGGAATTAGCAGATGGTGGCGTTCCCATGTATGTGCTGTTCTTGACCTTCTCGGTGATAGAGGCCATGTATTCAGAAGTTGCTTTCAAAGAAGCCTTGGCAAATTGCTGCAGAGCATCATGCATATGGGATTCACTGCCACTGAAAGTCAATCGTGGAGGGAGTGAATGTGTAACATTGTGGGTGGTGTGCCAATCAGGTAGAATATTTTGTCCTAGATTGTGTTGAGCTTCTTGAGTGCTGTTGGAAACTATTTGAGCTAAAGACCAATGAGCCCATTGGTACTCATGGGAAGCATCTTAGGATATTTAAAAGAGGTAGCTACAGAAATGGTGGCTGTACTGGTAGTAATCTTCCAAGAACCCTGAGATTTTGGCAAAGTCCTGGAGGTTTGGAAAACTGTCTATCTGACATCTTTGTTTAAGAAGGGAAAGAGACAATAAGCCAATTAGTTTAACATCTGTTATTAGGAAAATGTTAGAATCCGTTATTAAGGATGTGATTGAGCATTTGTGTACATAATATTCAAGCAGAGTCAACATGGCTTTGAAAAGGGGAAATTACGCCTGTCAAATTGGCTAGAATTCTTTGAGGAAATAAAAAAGAGTGGTAAAGGGGAAGCAGTGGATATAATATAGTGGATTTTCAGAAGGCATTTTATAAGGTACCATGTGGCAATAATGCTACTGAATAACATAAGCACCCGAAGTGTTGGAGGTAGTATATAAGCAAGATTTGCCTAACCAAAAGAAGACAGAGTTGAGGTAAGGGGAACATTTCAAGAATCTTGATGGCAGCTAGTGGGACCACAATTACTTACAATATATATTAATGACCTGGATAAGGAAACTGAATGTACTATAGCCAAGTTTGTGGATGACACAAAAGTAGGTGAGAAGACAAGTGGTGACATTGATGACAACAAGGTGCAGGGCTGGATGAACACAGCAGGCCAAGCAGCATCATAGGAGCAGAGAGGCTGACGTTTCGGGCCTAGACCCTTCATCAGAAAAGGGGGAGGGGAAGGGGGTTTTGAAATAAATAGGGAGAGAGTTGGAGGCGGATAGAAGAGGGATAGAGGAGAGGATAGGTGGAGAGGAAACAAACAGGTCGAAGAGGCGGGGATGGGGCCAGGAAAGGTGAGTGTAGGTAGGGAGTTAGGAAGGGGACAGGTCAGTCCAGGGAGGACGGACAGGTCAAGGGGGCGGGATGAGGTTGGTCGGTAGGAGATGGAGGTGCGGCTTGAGGTGGGAGGAGGGGATAGGTGGGAGGAAGAACAGGTTAGGGAGGCAGGGACGAGCTGGACTGGTTTTGGGATGCGGTAGGGGGAGGGGAGATTTTGAAGCTTGTGAAATCCACATTGATACCATTGGGCTGCAGGGTTCCCAAGCGGAATATGAGTTGCTGTTCCTGCAACCTTCGGGTGGCATCGTTGTGGCACTGCAGGAGGCCCAGGATGGACATGTCGTCTGAGGAATGGGAGGGGGAGTTGAAATGGTTCGCGACTGGGAGGTGCAGTTGTTTGTTGCGAACCGAGCGTAGGTGTTCTGCAAAGCGGTCCCCGAGTCTCCGCTTGGTTTCCCCGATTGTAGAGGAAGCCACACCGGGTACAGCGGATGCAGTATACCACATTGGCAGATGTGCAGGTGAACATCTGCTTGATGTGGAAAGTCTTCTTGGGGCCTGGGATGGGGGTGAGGGAGGAGGTATGGGGGCAGGTGTAGCACTTCCTGCGGTTGCAGGGAAAAGTGCCGG